TGTCACACACACACACACACACACACACACACACACACACACACACACACACACACACAGCCTACCTGTGTATAGTTGTGGTAGTTTGTGTGATCTATGATGTAACCACCAGTGGCCCGTTTCCTCTCTGCCTCGTCCACAGGGGTACGGGCTGTGCCTGCGTCCACAATCCTAGGTGGGGGGAGGGGGGCAGATCAGTGACTATTAGATAGAGAGATAGATAGATAGATTGACAGATAGATAGATAGATAGAGAAGGAGAGAGAGAGAGATAGAAAGAGAGAGAGAGACTGAGAAAGAGACGAGGAGAAAGAGAGAGACTGACGGATGAGGGAGAGGGAGAGACGTAGAAAAACAGACATTGAAAGCGAGCAAGCGAGCCACAGAGATAGATAAATAGCTAGCTAGATAGATAGATAGATAGATAGATAGATAGATAGATAGATAGATAGATAGATAGATAGATAGATATATAGAGACAGAGAGACACAGAGAGAGAGAGAGAGAAAGAGAGAGAGAGAGAGAGAGAGAGACAGAGAGAGAGAGAGAGAGTACGAGAGTGAGAGAGAGGAGGGGGCAGGGAGTCCTGAAGATTGCGAGTTTGTTTGTCTGTCTTTTGTTGTCGTTGCTTTTCAAAAGTCGTTTTAGTAAGAGTTTCACGGCACTTGAAACACAAATAGGCCATATAACTTATATTATAAGTGCCGTAGATTCGAGTGTGTTACGAGAGAGTAAAAATGCAAAGAAAAGAAGGAAAAGAGATAAAGAAGATAGATACTTAATAGGAAATGAGGAGAAAACCCCACCAGAGAACATGCCAACCACCCACAAAAAAAAATTTGAAAGTTCATTTTTTTAATGAATGAATGATTTAATTATTGAATTAAATAGTTAATAGATAAATAAATAAATTAATTAATTATTAATTAATGGAAATAAATAAATGAATGAATAAATGAATAAATAAATACATAAATAAATGAATGAATGAATGAATGAATGAATGAATGAAAGAAAATAAATTAATTAATAAATTAATTAATTAATTAATTAATTAATTAATCAATTAATTAATCAATCAGGTAATTAACCAATCAATCAATAAATCAATAAACAATAGAATGGATGAAAGAATGAATGAATGAAAGAATGTAAGAATAAATGAACAATAAATCAACAAATATATAGATAAATAATCGCTCACGCTTGTACGTCATCGGCGGCCACCTGGTAGGGCAAGCCTCTGACAACAAGCCGGGATTTGACCTCGGACAGTAGAGGAGGGGGGACCAACACGTTGCTCCTGCGACCAGGCACCGGCTCCAACCAAAAGTCCAGCTGCGATATGGCAGAGAGCGGTAGTGGTTGTTTTAAGTTAAGGGGGGGGGGGGCTGTTTGTTCCTTTCAAAGAATAACTCACATCAAACATGCCCATGTCACTACTCACTAATACGAAGATATAGCCGGAATTCCTGTTTGTTTGACCGGGGGTTTTTTGTTTGTCTGTCTGGGTTTTTTTTGTCTGTTTGTTTGTTTGTCTGTCTGTTTGTTTGTCCGTTTGTTTGATTGTCTGTCTGTTTATTTGTCTGTGTGTCTGTTTGTCTGTCTGTTTGTTTGTTTGTCTGTCCGTTTGCCTATCTGCCTTTCTAGAAATTGGTAAAGAAATGTTGAAGCATGTTTATGTAGCACATTTTTTGACATATAAAAATGTGTGTATACAGATAATTTTCTATCTGTCTGTCTGTCTGTCTGTCTGTCTGTCTGTCTGTCTGTCTGTCTGCCTGTCTGTCAGTCTATCTGTCTGTCTGTCTGTATGTCTGTCTGAATGACACGATCATATTACACACGTTCATACAAACATATACATCTCACTATTTGTCTGTGGATATCTTTGTGTTTATAACTAGTCCTCTTTCTTTTTCCCATGCCTCTCTCTCTCTCTCTCTCTCTCTCTCTCTCTCTCTCTCTCTCTCTCTCTCTCTCTCTCTCTCTCTCCCTCC